GAGAGAGAGAGAGAGAGAGAGAGAGAGAGAGAGAGAGAGAGAGAGAGAGAGAGAGAGATGGGGATAGAGAGAAGAGAGCGAGTGAACGGGAGAGACAGACAGTAGTGAGAGAAAGGGGGGAAGAACGGACGAGGGGCGCTTGAATGAACCTAGCCGCCGCAGAGCGCCAGGTTCATTCGTGACTAAGCCATGTGAACGAGCGTGCGGGAAGAGATGTGCGAGAAGCAGACTGGAGGGCTGGCGAGTGTAAACGGGCGATGATGGGCTAGCCAGCGCCCACGAGCGTTCGCGGCCTGAGCGGGGCGAGCCAGCGATGGGATTCGAGTTGCGAGGGGTACGAGAGACTTACCTGGTGTTTGAGGTGAACGACGCTGGCGGAGAGCAGGTCGTGCTTCCGGGAAACTGTTGACGTCACCAGTCCCATCGTAGATGGTAGGGTAGGAAGGATCTGCCACCTGTGGTCTGGATGCGGAGTGGCAGATAGGATCTCGACATTGGCTCTTTGTTGATGACGATGATGCCATACCAGCATTGCCACTTATGAGCTTGTGCTGTGCACTTATTTGAAGGAACTCGCTTTGCCAATCTGCACTTAGTTCGGTTGCTGGAACTCACTCTAACCGCTGCACGAAAGGTTGTGCACTCAGCAGACTGCAGTTCGTCTCCGTGTTGAGCTTGAGTGCAGATCGACTTCGGCTGGAGCCTGACTGGAGTTCGACTCTGCGAGGGGACTTGAGGGACCAGACCAGACCAGATCCGGACGAGACCAGCTCAACCCAGACCAGACCTGATCAGACAAGATCGGACTAGACCATACCGGACCAGATCGGACGGGACTGCATCAGATCAGACCAGATCGAGATCAGGCCAAATCGGGATCAGATCAGTTCAGTCCAGACCAACTCGAGATCAGACCAGATCTGGGCCGGATCAGACCAGACAAAATCAGACCAGGTCAGACCAGAACGAAACAGACCAGATCCAGACCGGTCCAGGCCAGACCAGACCAAACCGAACCAGACCAGACAAGATTAACCAGAGCATACCGGACAGATTCAGACGAGACTGCATCATATCAAACCGAACTACACCAGACCAGACCGGACCAAACCAAGGCAGATCTGACTACATTGCATCATATCAGGCCAKACCCGATTGGATCAGACTGGACCAAATCAGACCAGACTGGACCCGGAACAGACACAGATCCAGACCTGATGAGACCGGACTCAAACCAGACCTGATGGGACTGGACTCGGATCAGACCAAATGAAACCGGACTCGGAACAGACCCAGACCAGATTGGATCAGACCGGACCAATTCAGAACGGACCGGACTCAGAACAGACGAGACCAGACCAGGCAGGACCAGACCACACAAAATCAGACCAGATCAGACGACCAGATCAGACAACAGAAGTGCTTTAGCAAGAACCGTGGAACCGATGGGACCAGCATCGACGACAACCTTTTGATCGTGGAACCCGGCGAAGAATCCCGGCACGTATAGTCTCAACACAAATTGGATCCCTGAACTGGCGTCAGGGGGGGCTGCCCTGGGATAGGGTGGTGGCGCGTCTGCGCCGAACTTTATTGACGGAATAAAACAATTTCCTCGTTCAAACTGCAGTTTTGTGAGTGGTCCGGTTCGGGTCTAGGATTCATGTCTGACACAGTGGTGGATTTTGCAGGTTACAGGAGCCCCGACCAACCCTTCCGCGGGTGACAGACGCGGCGCGAGCTATAGGGTTTGGACGGTGTGCCGGCAGACTCCTTCTACCGGTCGACAACGCAAGCCAACCAGCACTCAGACAGACATGCAGTCCAGCAAGCACACACACACACACAGACTTAGCAGGCGGGGAACTCAGTAGGGCATTCAGTCTATGAGCAAAACTCAGAAATCAGCTGTGTGTTTCAGTCCGTGTTTGGACGGGTTATCACAGTAGCACCTTTCACAGGAAGAGACATAGGGCCTTGCCATACGGCACACGGAACGAAAAGGGAAACAAAAAATTAAACAAATGTATTTTGCGGAATTTTTGCCAGCTTCTGTGAACGGATGCACTTCTTTTTTTTTTTTTTCATTTCGCGTGTTGTGTGGCAGGGTCCATAGAGAACAGCAGATGTTTAGAAAGAAATAGGGATGTGTGTTCCGTATCTCAATGAGTAGTAACGAACGAGTTCACACATCTCAATTCCTTTGACACTACTAAAGAAAAAAACAGAAGAACAATAATCTCAAGTGTGATACCCCGTCCTAAGAAAAGGGGAAAAGTCCGAAAAAAAAAAAAAAAAATTACAAAAAAGTATTAAGCCACTAGTACCTCTGGCGTCCGATTTCGACAAGTTCTTCCCAGCTCCCGAACTTTCAGGGGGCCGAGCCCGACGTTGATCAATCTGATCAGCGGCCGTCGTTTCGTTTCGGCCTCCTGAAAGGTCGGAGGCCCGCTATTTTCCGAACCGACAAAGGTACTAGTGGTTTAAGAAGCAAAAAAAAAAAACGAGCGATTTGGTTCTTGTTCTCGAGGGGTTATCACTCCAGAATACCCGCGAAGAAAGACTGTTTTTCCCCTCTTCCTCAGCTGGAAGGGGAGAGGAGCTGCAGGGCTATAGGGTTGGTATTTGGGTAAAAAGTACTAAAAACTGCCTACAAAACAATTGCATGCAATTTTAGAAAATGCTGCACCACCTGAGTTACACCTGGTCTTAGAAAACCGCTTTTTTTTCAGTAACTGACCGCTTTGAGTCCGTACCAGGAGCAGAATTTGGGCCAAAAACAGACAAGAAAGGAACTGGCTACAAATGGTACAAAACAATTGCATGCAATTTTAGAAAAATGCTGCACCTGAGTTACAACCGTTCCTAGAAAACCGCCTTTTTTTTGTTTTGTTTTTTGGGTAACTGACCGCTTCGAGTCCATACCAGGAGGAGAATTTGCACAAAAAATGCCAAAAACTTGCAAAAAGCAAAAAAGAATTTAAAGAAACATAGGTTAAGTTGATTGACCATCCACACCTGGAGGCTGCTTAGAATGCGCTCCAACCGGACTGATGCCACAGGAGTGGTGGAGTCCGGATTGAAAACTTCCCCAGGGTAAAAGAGCACTCCGTCCCCCGGAGGAAGCCCTGGACGAAATCGGATCTGCATAGAATGACAAAAGAATAGAATGGATGAACGTGTGAGTATGGTGAACGGTGAACCTTATTTATGGTGAACCAGGCAATTGCGATTCTTGGGAAATACTCTGTCAAGAAAAATCACGACTATCGGGGTCTAACAGAGTCCTTCGCGACGTCCGTTAAAATTGGAACGATAAAGAGAAGATTAACATGCCTGCACAACTATGCCACACACACACACACACACACACACACTCATAAATGAAGAAAGGGCCCAGAATTCTCCAAATCAAAAAAAAAAAAAAAAGGATGAAAATAAGAGATGTGTCACGTGTGTGCATTAGAGATGTTTTTTATTTTTTTTATTTTTTTTTTAACACCCTGGGACCACTCTAGGGGTATTCACAACATCCTCAGTTCCTCCCTTCAGTATTTGCCACCGATGTCCGGGAGCACACTACTCCCAGAATGCTAAGGGCATACTCACACGAGCAATTTCCCAAATGTTTCTCACCATAATTACGGCCGAAGCTGGATGCATCTGACAGCAATCACGTCCAGAGAGGAGTCTAAAAAGTCCTAGCCCGAGTATTCCCTAAGAAGAGTTCTTTGCAGTTCTGCTAAATTTGGTGTATGTTCATCCCAAGGCCCATGAGTGGTCTCCTGGACCAGTACCTCCCAGTTCTTTGCAGTTCTGCTAAATTTGGTGTATGTTCATCCCAAGGCCCATGAGTGGTCTCCTGGACCGGTACCTCTCTCTCTCTCTCTCTCTCTCTCTCTCTCTCTCTCTCTCTCTCTCTCTCTCTCTCTCTCTCTCTCTCTCTCNCTCTCTCTCTCTCTCTCTCTCTCTCTCTCTCTCACACACACACACACACACACACACACACACACACACACACACACACACACACACACATCTCTCTCTCTCACACACACACACACCAGACATTAGGAGAAGTCCATAGGTCCAGATCACGAATTGGTTTTCAGGCATCTGTGGTATAGTGATTTTCATTTTGTGTAGGGGACAATACACACTCACCTCTGCCGCAGGTGTGAACGCTCTCTCGTAACAATTTGCTCCCCAGTACAAGAACCCTGTGCCACCTTCCTTCCATGCGCGCCACATCACTGCCCGGTGTTGGGTGCCTCTCATACCTAAATGCCAATTAGGATGAGGCTCGCCAGGTACGATGCATATGTACGTCCACCACTCCTGCTCAAGTAATCACCAATCCCCCCAAAAGAGCATTCACCGCTAAAGTCAAACGGCGAGAGAACAAGTGCGCATCGCAAACTCTACAAAACCAACGTAGACAAGTCTAATCCAAAACTTCTGCGCAACACAAACCGAAGTTACTCGCTGGAATCAGGCAGCAGGTGAACAACCAGCCTGATTCCAAATAACAGACCTGAGGTCGAGTCCTGCTGGAATCAGGCAGCAGGTGAACAACCACGGGACTGTCCGTAAGAAGATGATACCTCAAGACAAGACACTCGCTTTGGGTGGGGGGGGGGGGGGGTGGGGGGTGGGGGGTTGGGGGAACATGGACCCAAAGTTCCAACATGGCTGAATGGTACACCCATGCAACTATTGATAAAAAACAAACCTGAGTTCGAATCCCGTTCGAATGGACTTCAATCAAGTGAAAAAATACCTCTGAATCACCTTCAACCTGTCAATTCGATCATGATTCCTAAAGATCATCACACTTTAAACCACCAGTACCTTTGTCGGTTCGAAAATACTCGGCCTCTGACCTTTCAGGAGGCCGAAACNGAAAATACTCGGCCTCTGACCTTTCAGGAGGCCGAAACGAAACGACGGCTGCCAATCAGATTGATCAACATCGGGCTCGGCCTCCTGAAAGTTCGGGTACTGGCCAAGACTTGTCGAAACCGGACGCCAAAGGTACTTGTGGTTTAACAAAAAAAAAAAAAGGAAGACCACACATGGATCCAAACAAGTAAGAAACGGAAATTACAGTTCGTCTGGGACTGCATTGGAAGGACACGGCGACACGGCTTAAACAGTGATTTAGGAGGCACCAAAGCCCCCCACCTCCCCTAACACCCCCCCGCCCCAAACCAAAGTTCCCTCCTACCGCCTTCACCCAAATGGAACGCCCGGTCGCTAGAGCTGTATCTGGCACAACTTTTAGTCCGCGTACAGCGATGATGACCATGCGGTTTAAAACAAGGTAAGGATGGAAGCTGATCTTGGCCTGTGTTCATCAAGTATGACTCAAAAGACGACAACAGACAAAATGCTCCTGGGCCGTAATACAGAGAAGCATTAAGGGTTGAGTGTTTTAAACGGGGCATGCTTGCCCCAGTTCCCCACAGGGGAGCCTGGGTTAGGAAAAGAGGGCTCAGTGAAAATCTCACAGGTTAAGAACAGACCTGAACAGTTAATTCTTCCCAAGGGAAGCAAGTTCAAGCAACCAATGCTGTCAGAGATAACTCAGGGAGTAGAAGACAGACATCTACCTTCTTCCCCCGAATACAACATACGGTCATTATAGCTGTATTTGAGGCACTCCCAGTCTAGATACAGCCATAATGACCGTACGTTGTCTTCGGGGGAAAAAGGTAGGAAGAAAATACTGGTGGAGCAGAGGTAAATCCTTTTACCAATCACGCAAGTAATCAATGCCACTGTCTCAGGATATATTGACGTTAATGGGGAGATGCATATAGACTATTATAGAGCGAGTTCTTTGTTGTGAGCGGGACGCTGGACCCAGTTTCCAGCTTTCTAGTACAAATCCTCTATTGCAGAAAGGAAAAAAAAAAAAAAAAGAGCAGCCTCGCAATGACGCCCCGGACAGTAGCTGACAATCCATGTGTTCAGTGCACACAACAGGCACACAAACAAAGTACAAAGAAGAAGAACAAATAGAAGAGCTCTCTATCGTAATTCATGTGTTCCGGGCACACAAACGGCACAAACGTACATACCTCATCCTCGTCGCGGTGAAGCTCGCCCATAACTCTTTCTGCCAGTTCTTCGCGTCCTCCAAGTGCCCACTCACTGTGCAATTCACATACGAAACTCGTCCTTCAGAGTTCAAGTAATACACAATCTGGTGGTCACATCAAAAAAGAAACTCATCCTTTACGCCCCCAGAAATGAGTGATGACGAAATACTGCAAGGCTAGGGCCGTGTACTTACATACACGCTCTCCATGGTCTGAAAGCTTTCGGCATTTTCAGATCAGGATAGCCTGTGGAAAGAGCTACCATCTTCACCCGAATAGAACACCCGGTCATTATAGCTGTATTTGGCACAACTTTCAGTCCAGATGCAGCGATAACAACCAGGCGTTCCATTCGGGTGAGGACCGTAGCGCATCTATCGTGGGCTAACTCGTACAAAGTTTTTTTTTTTTTTTTTTTTTTTTAACTGGTACAAAGTTACAAGCATCTAAAACTTAAAAACCGTACATAAAGTTTAATAAACAGAGCGAGAGCTCAAAATTAAAATACAGTTAAGAAGTAAGGACCATTCAATGAATGAATGCAGAGAGTCAAAGTGCTAGACAAAGAGAAAATGCGATGCATACGCCTCATCATCCATCGATTGTCTTCAGAAAAAAATAGCTCAAAGAAGACATGCGGGTTGACCCCATAGCTCAGAGCTTGACAGACACAATTATGCTGACCGAGACAAAACCCCCATAGCCATCGTCTTCACCAAATTAGAACGTAAGCTATTTAGGGCTGTATTGGGGGCAACGTGCGGTCTAGATAGAGGGATAACGACTCTACGCCGAATTTGGGGGAAGATGGCATATGCACTGCTTACTTGTGAAAAATATTTTCTCTCTCTCTCTCTCTCTCTCTCTCTCTCTCTCTCTCTCTCTCTCTCTCTCTCTCT